CCCTGTCCCATAAAAAAGCAAGGACCACAGGACTCAATGACTACAGACCTGTTGCCCTCACCTGTGTGGTCATTAAGTCTTTTGAGCACCCTGTGCTTTCCCACCTGAAAACTATAACGGACCCACTCCTGGATCCCCTGCAGTTCGCCTACAGAGCCAACAGGTCTGTAGACAATGCAGTAAACATGGCCCTGCACTGTTTGTGCCCTCAGCATCTGGACTCCCTAGGAACCTATGCCAGGATCCTGTTTGTGGATTTCAGCTCTGCGTTTAACACCATCATCCCAGCTCTGCTACAAGACAAGCTCTCCCAGCTCACTGTGCCTGACTGGATCACAGACTTCCTGTCTGACAGGAAGCAGCAGGTGAAGCTGGGGGAAAATGTCTCTGACTCCCAGACCATCAGCACCGGATCCCCCCAAGTGGGCGGCTGTGGCTCAGAGGCAGAGCGTGTCGTTCCTAAATCGGAAGGTTGTGGGTTCGATCCCCTGGTGCCACATGTCGAAGTATCCTTGAGCAAGATACTGAACCCCAAATTGCTCCCGATGCCATGCATCGGTGTTTGAATGTTAGTTTCTGTTCGATGGACTTTGCCAATGTGTGTGGCACGTAGTGTAAAAGCGCTTTGAGTGGTCGGAAGACTAGAAAGGCGCTATACAAGTACAGGTCCATTTACCATTTACCATTTACCAAGGCTGCGTTCTTTCTCCTCTGCTCTTCTCCCTGTACACCAACAGCTGCGCCACTAGTCACCAGTCCGTCAGGCTACTGAAGTTTGCAGATGACACCTCCCTCATTGGGGCTCATCTCTGATGGAGATGTGTCTGCCTACAGATGGGAGATTGACCATCTGGTGACCTGGTGCAGCCAGAACAACCTGGAGCTAAATGCTCTGAAAACAGTGAGATGGTTGTGGACTTCAGGAAGAACCCAGCCCCACCCGCCCCAATAATCCTGTGTGACTCCCCAGTTGACTCTGTGTAGTCCTTCCACTTCCTGGGTAACATCCTTACCCAGGACCTCAAGTGGGAGCTGAACATCAGCCATCAGTCCATCCTCTCCTCTTCCATCACTATCTGGTACGCTGCAGCCACTGCCAAGGACAAGGGCAGACTGCAGCATATCATTCGATCTGCTGAGAAGGTGATCGGCTGTACGCCTCTAGGACCCTGAGGCATGCAGGCAAGATTGTGTCTGACCCCTCCCACCCCGGTCACAAACTCCTTGAGACACTTCCCTCTGGCAGGAGGCTGCGGTCCATCAGCACCAAAACCTCTCGCCACAAAAACAGTTTCTTCCCATCTGCAGCTGGCCTCATTAACAAGGCCCGGTACCCCCTTTGTCACTGACTCTTATACCCACCCTGCACTCCCGTCTTCTGTACAGTTTTCTTTTCTTATCTTTCTCCTCTTAATTTATTTATATTTTGAAAGTACTTTATTTTTGTGTGTGATTTTTGTGTGATTTGTATATTTGTATAGTATTTGTATATTTTATGCCCCAATTGCACCAGGACACATTCCTCATAGGTGTAAAAACCTACTTGGCAATAAACATAATTCTGATTCTGAAGTAGATGTTATTGCGTGGTGAAATCAAAAACACACACACACACACACACAATTCATCATTGTCAATTTCCATTATTGTGATAATCATGAATCAGGATAGACTTAAAAATGCTGTCCATCTCTCCAGCATGCAGTTCTATATTGACTTCCTGATTTATTTTGGACAAGGGGACAAGGGAGAACTATTACCATGGCTGAAGGCTCAGCTTGCACGTTGTATCCCCAACAGTGTGTGTAGAAATAGTATAGATTACAAAATAAAGAAGATAGAGTTAAGGTTCCTATCTGTGATGCAATAAATACATGTATTTCTTAACAATGTAAGGTAAAGTTATCCTAATGTATATATATATTATATATACACACAAATTTTATTTTGACAAAAATGTATATAGAAATGAATGGTACATGGGACATCAGTTCTACCAGGTGAGCCATCAGGACACCCTGTGGCTACTAGTCTTTGTAACTAGGTTAGCTATGGTTTCAAATCAAAACTTGGTCTTGGTTTCATAGTTTAACATTTCTTTTGGTTGTGATAACATAGCGCTACAGGGCGACATCACTACGCAGCACAAAAAGTGGTGAGACGATCAGACTAGCTAAACAGTACACTAAAACATGTTTGTGAAATTATTTTAAGTGAGATATAGACAACGTAGTAAGAGAATCTTGATTCATATTTGATCAGCACTGTCTAGTTTGACAGTTTGATCTGAGCTTTGTGCACTGCACTGGACAGACTCACTGAGAATGACTGTTACTGCGTTGACTATTTCTCACCTGAAATTGTTTCACAAACATATTTTAGTGTACTGTATAGCTGTAATACGAGAGGACGAGTCAAAACTGCGCAGCCAATGAGCGCAGATCAACTTGCAATAAGACCAAGACCAATGGGTGACATCACAATAGGTTCACATTTGGTTATTAGAGCCAATGGAGAGCCCCCTGCTTGCTCCCCCTGCTTGCTCCCCCGGCTTCACTTTTCAGACCTGGAAGCTCTGTCCATTATAGGCTGCTCAAAAAAATTAAGGGAACACTAATTAATCACAGTAAAACACCAAGTCAATTAAACTTCAGGGATATCAATATATCCGGTTAGGAAGCGTAAGCGATTGTGAATCAATTTCACCTGTTTTGGTGCAAATGAAAGTGACAACAGGTGCACTGGAGAGGCAACAGCAAGACAACCCCCAAAAAGGGAATGGTTTTGCAGGTGGTGGCCACAGACAAAAGCTCTCTCCTTATCCTTTCTGACTGATTCTTGTCTAGTTTTGTGTTTTGCTAGTGTCTTTGTCACCACTGGTAGCATGAGGCAGTACATGCAGCTCATTCAGGTTGCACAGGTAGTCCAGCTCCTCCAGGATGGCACATCCATACGTGCAGTCGCAACAAAGTTTGCTGTGTGTCCCAGCACAGTCTCAAGAGCATGGAGGAGACGGGTCGTTACAGGAGGAGAGCTGGACAGGGCCGTAGAGGGGCATCAACCCAGCAGCAGATCTGCTCCTTTGTGCATGTTTCTGATCAAACTGTCAGAAACAGACTCCATGAGGGTGGCATGAGGGCCTAACATCCTCTAGTGAGACCGGGGCTCACAGCCCACCACCGGGCAGCTCAATTGGCTTTGGCCAGACAACACCAGAATTGGCAGGTCCGCGATTGGCGCCCCGTTCTCTTCACAGATGAGAGAAGGTTCACACTGAGCACATGTGACATACGTGAAAGAGTCTGGAGAACATTACGCTGCCTGCAACATCATCCACCATGACAGGTTTGGTGGTGGGTCAGTGATGGTCTGGGGAGGCATATCCTTGGAGGGTCTTACAGACCTCCACATGCTAGTCAACGGTTACCTAGGTACTGGGATGAAAATCCTCAGACCTTACGCTGGTGCAGTGGGCCCTCGGTTCCTCCTGGTACAGGACAATGACGAAGACAATGACGCCATTGACTGGCCCTCATGTTTGCCAGACCTGGTTTAAGTCATATTTATCAGATTGCTCGCAGTTTGTACATGTTAATGATGAATCTTCAATAAATACTACAGTTAGTCATGGAGTTCCACAAGGTTCTGTACTTGGACCAATACTATTTACTTTATATATGCTCCCTTTAGGCAACATTATTAGGAATCACTCCATTAACTTTCACTGTTATGCAGATGATACGCAGTTATATCTATCAATCAAGCCCAATGAAATTAATCAATTATCTAAATTACAAACATGTCTTAAGGACATAAAATCCTGGATGACCTGCAATTTTCTGATGTTAAACTCAGAAAAAAACGAAATTCTTGTTCTTGGCCCCAAAAACCTTAGAGACTCACTGTCTAAAGATATAGTTACTCTAGATGGCATTAACTTGGCCTCTAGCACCACTGTCAGGAATCTTGGAGTTATCTTTGATCAGGATTTGTCATTTAACTCCCACATAAAGCAGACCTCTAGGACTGCCTTCTTTCATTTACGTAATATTAGAAAAATTAGACACATCCTATCACAGACAGATGCAGAAAAACTAATCCATGCATTTGTTACTTCAAGGCTGGATTACTGCAACTCTTTATTATCAGGTTGCCCCAATAAGTCCATTAAAACGCTCCAATTAATTCAGAACGCTGCAGCACGAGTACTGACAGGAACTAGAAAAAGAGATCACATCTCTCCTGTACTAGCTTCTCTGCATTGGCTCCCTGTAAAATGTAGAATATAATTTAAAATCCTCCTCCTCACCTATAAAGCTCTTCATGGTCAGGCTCCTTCATATCTTAAAGAGCTCATAGTACCCTATTACCCCTCTGGAACACTACGTTCTCTGAATGCTGGGCTACTTGTGGTTCCTATAGTCTCTAAAAGTAGAACAGGAGCCAGAGCCTTCAGTTACCAAGCTCCTCTCTTGTGGAACCGGCTTCCATTTGTGGTTCGGGAGGCAGACACCCTCACCACATTTAAGAGTAGGCTTAAGACATTCCTCTTTGATAAAGCTTATAGTTAGGGCTGGATCAGGTGAGTCCTGAACCATCCCTTAGTTATGCTGCTATAGGCCTAGACTATCGGGGGATTTCCCACGGTGCACTGAGCTCCTCCCTTCCTCTCTCTTTCTGCACTCATTCATGTCCCATTAATGCATGTTACTAACTTCACTTCTTCCCCGGAGTTCTTGTGCTTTCTCGTCTTGCAGGTTCTTGTCGATCCTGGTGGAGCCTCCTGCCATGGTCCTGCTAGATTGCCATTGCTAATACTGTTGTTGCTGTGCACCTCTCTCTCTCTCTCTCTCTCTCTCTCTCTCTCTCTCTCTCTCTCTCTCTCTCTCTCTCTCTCTCTCTCTCTCTCTCTCTCTCTCTCTCTCTCTCTCTCTCTCTCCCCCCTCCCCCAACTGGTGAGACAGACGACCACCCACCTAGAGCCGGAGGATCTGTCCTAGGTTTCTGCCTTTTAACAGGCAGTTTTTCCTTGCCCTTGTCGCCAAGTGCTTGCTCATGGTGGTACTGTTGGGTCTCTGTAATTAATGTTTTAAAGAGTTCGGTCTAGACCTGCTCTATTTGAAAAGTGTCCTGAGATAACTTTTGTTATGAATTGGCGCTATACAATTAAAATTGAATTGAATTGAATTGAATTGAATTGAATTGCGAACCTGTGGGATGTTATGTATCGGTGCATCCGACGCCACCAAAGACAGAGCTCACTGATGCCCTTATCCAGGTCTGGGAGGAGACCCCCAAGGACACCATCCGCCGTCTAATCAGGAGCATGCCCAGACACTCGGGAGTGCATACAGGCACGTGGGGGCCATACACACTACTGAGTCACATTATGAGTTGGCGTGATGAAATTCATGCAAGTTGGATTAGACTGTGATTTCAAGCTTGTACTTAGATTTTGGTGTGATTTTGAATCCAGCCCTCAAATCGGTTGATGATTTTGGTTTCCATTGACTGTTGTTACGTCATTTGGTTCTCAACAAATTACACAATGTTGTACAGTAAAGATTTTGAACCTAAATTTATATTATATTTATTATATTTTGTTTATCAAGATTCGATGTGTTATTTAAGTGTTCCCTTTTATTGAGCAGTGTATATGCTGTCAGTGGTACAGTGTCATTATCACTGGCAGGAATGATGGTCAAAACGTTGTGATAAAGCATAAATATCCTTACACTTGTTCCTGTAAGCATGTCAACTGCTCCCCAGATCAAATGACACCGAGTGACATCTGCCTCTGAAAGCAACTGATCCGAGATTTGAGGCTTAAAGTGTCTGGATCCTTGGATTTCTTCTACTCTCATTTCACTCAAACCCCTTCTCACAAGTTCAACCTTCCTGAAAACAGCACCAGCACATTGAAGGCCCAGATAAAAAAGACAATCTGAATCTTAATGCTGAGTGACAACAAAAAACAAAAAAGAATGGATATAAGAAGAAAATAAAGTGGCTGACACTACAGGGAAGACACAACAGCTGATAACATATTATTTGATGAAAAAGATACCGAGATGAAATACAATTATCATCACTTGTGTTAGAAATTATGGGACCATTGTGCCTAGAAATCCCTGGTACTGACTGAGTACACTATTATTAACACATTGTGCATAATAAGAATGGCCTATAATGACTCTGAGTTTTGATTTCTCATCAGCATAATTGTGAATTTTTTGTAGACAATATTAGTGTTAGGAATATTGCTTATCAGCTGTTTGCATATAGCTGTTTACCAAATTGTTATGTGCTTTGTTCACAGATTAATATCACGTAAAACCATCATTCTTAATATATCCAAACTCAAAATGTAAATGGTAAATGGACCTGTACTTGTATAGCGCCTTTCTAGTCTTCTGATCACTCAAAGCGCTTTTACACTACGTGCCACATTCACCCTTTCACACACATTCACTTAGTGATGGCAAAGCCCATCAAACAGAAAATGATGCATTCATACACACTCACACACCGATGCACAGCATCGGGAGCAATTTGGGGTTCAGTAACTTGCTCAAGGATACTTCAACATGTGGCAGGAGGAGCCAGGGAACCAACAACCTTCCGATTAAGGGACGACGCACTCTGCCTCTGCACCACAGCTCTTGTTTAACAACTAAATTGACATAAATGAGCTGCAATGTTTTAGAATACGTACTGCAGATGTTTCAATATGTTTGCCAGTTGTTGCAAGCTAAATTTTGACACATTCTTTTAAATGTGACCTCCTGTTGTTGTTGTTGTTGTTGTTATTATTATTATAGTTTGTGGATACTGCTGTAAACTGTGAATTTCTAATCTAAGATTTCTTTCACTGTCAGCCATATAATAGTTAGCCTGGTCTAACCTTAATGGGTACTTCAATGAGCTGGAAGTTAACTTTAAGTTAAAACTAAAGTTAGTTTTGTTGGATTCCTTCCTTTAATTAGTTATGTCTTTTTTGGGCCAGAACAGACCAGTTGTCGTATTATTTTTGGAACCTCTTCACCAGGTATCACAAGCGAGCAGTGTTGGGCAGTAACTAATTAATTGTGATCAAATTACAGTAATAATATTACTTTCCCCAGTAACTAGTAGTGTAACTAATTAGAAATACATTTCTGTAATAATATTACAGTTCCCCCTCCAAAAAATAATTAGTCACATTACTTTTGTTGTCACCATGCCATCATGCTCTTCCTGCAATAAGCTAACATCAGCCAATATATCTGCCCCACCCACTGATCCAGCTCTAGTCCACGCTTAGCTCTATGAACCTCATATTTATCACATACTGACTTTCACATTACTTGCGTACATGTGCTAATGAACGCACTGGAGATAAACACAGATATCACAGACTGAAACAAACCTTGAACATTGGGACAAATGAGATTTACCAGTTGAACTGCATTAGGAGAATACAGTATTTGATGAATCATAACCCACAGCTTCATGTTAATTTCATGCCTGCACACAGCCCCAAGCATGACTGGGAAACAGTAACATATGGCTCTTATGCGTGTGTGGCTGCAATTTCCTGTGAGGTCAGCCACAAGGCTGAGGTACAGCACAGTCCATTGCAGCAGGGTCAGTTGAGCGTGTGGGTGTCTAAATGACCTCACAAGTGTGGGAGGAATAACTTAGCTGACAGTGTGCTATAATAAAAGTACTGAGATCTGGATTAGTTCTTGCTATCATGCAGTACACCAGATGCACAATAAATAGTATTACCTAACAAAGAGTACGCAGCTCTACACAGGTTAGCCCCATGTCTGCCTCGCACCATTATCAAACTACTACACTGATCAGATTCCAGATCAGAGCAATGTGGACACAACTCAAAGCTAATACAGCCTTTAGAACAGAAATCTGTGGATGATTTAGCTCGAAGTAATCAGGTGTGAGTCTTTTTCTGATCACACTTGACAAAAGGAGGATGAAGAGCAGTGAAGCTGGAGCTATACAACAGTAAACCCAGTCATCTGGCTCCCTCTACTGGAGCTGCACCTCCACCTAAAAATACTGTATATCTGTATATTCCACACATCCACATTACTGTCTCTCAACGTAAGGCTTCATATCAGACAACAGGCCAGTGGAATGAATACATCTGCAGCCTGAAACTTTACTGAGAGATATATTGTCTTGGCACAGGTGAATGCTTGACATTTCAACAGCCTCCTTCATCATTAGTATGTTACCAGTTTCTGCAGCAACACATTTCTTCATACAGTCACCATGGCAATTTTGCACCTCTTATACTTAATGAACACGAGAACAGAGCCAATATTTCTTTGTTGGTAGGGTGACATTTCTGTTGTACACAGAGGCTCAAAGCTTTTTGGAGATGTCAATATCCACATACAAGAATAAAAGGTTAATAATACATCACAATATGTGTACAGAATTTTGATGACAGCTTCCAACATCCAATTCCTAAAAAAGTATGTACCTGTTTCACAAATCTTCAGTGATTTTACCATTGAAGAATCCTTACCAATCCTGATAAATGTGAAACCGGCTGTGGTATATCTGTGTATGTTTTTGTATTGTGATGCTGTTTATACTCTTTGGATGTTTATCTCAGACACTGTAAGCAGTCTGCTTAACAAACCTCTCCCAGTCTGCCCTGCCTTGTTTCTCCTTAGTTCTAGTCCTGCTGTTCACCTCAGATACATTGAGAAGACAAGTTACATCTTCAATGCAGCTTAAATTGTTATTGTCACATGTTAGTTCCAACCCAATTCACCAAACTCCTAGACCATTACTTAACATTAATATTGTAATAATTTTTTGTATAGTTATGGTGTATGTAATACATTTAACATATCACTCTAATATATATCTGCCTGTGCAGTGCATTTAAGTAATAATCTAATGAAAATGAGCTGCTTCACCCATATTGGTCCAGACTGGCCATGTCATCAGTGTTTCTTCTTTACACTGAGACCCCTCTGCTTTGCTCAATCACTGAGTCACTTTCATTGTGCACTTTAAAGTACACAACTGACAATCTAAAGCCTTCATCAAGTCCTTCAGATGCTATGCCTGCCAGATTTCTGAAGCAGGTTTTTAATAGTGTTGGTCCCACTATTTTAGAAGTTAGATAGAGTTGATTTCCTATTCCTTTCCTATTTTTATCCTTGTCTTCATGGTAAACACCATTTTCTAACAAGCATTGAACTTGGCAGATTTCCGTCATTTGTAACTGCAATTGCGGCATTACACTGATGTGGTTTCACTGCATTGTAATCAGCACAGTGCACTGGTCAGGCGCTGCCCAAAAACTCAGCTTTGCAGATATGGCTTGTAGAATCAGGGATTACTTTACAGGTGAATTTGCAAGAAGGAGAATCATTAGTGGAGGCGAAACAGTATTGATCTGATTATTACAGGCAGATAAAAGTAATTAATTAATGTTACTGACAAGATGTAATGTAATTGTGAAGTCAGAAAGTTGTGCACAACCACAAGTGGATGAAGGTGATCAGAGGGCAGGAGGCAAGTTACTGAGTTCCCAAGCTATTAAGATATGTACTTTTATTAATCCCTATTGGGGATTTTTTCACTTTTTTTTTATAAAAGACACACACACACACACACACACACACACACACACACACACACACACACACACACACACACACACACACACACACACACACACACACACACACACACACAGGGTTAGGGGTTAGGTTTGGGGCACCTCAGCAGTGCACAGGAGGTGAAAACTGGCACCTCTCCAGCTCCCAGTCCACACTCCGTACTGTGGTTTATGTGATTATAACGTCACTTTTTATTCATCTCCCCAGATCTTCTCAAATACAGAGCAAGTCAGTAGGACCCACAATGGCTGAACAAATTTACCTGACTCAGACATACTGAAGGTGTGTTTACCTGTGCAAAAAGCATTATGTCCCCACGCTGCAGCTCATGCCATCATTTGTTTATGTAACCGATTGGGCTGTGCTTATTTTGGTGGTTTGAATGTAAATTCTGCAGCCATTTAATTACATGATTGTAAATCTGAACATAATTACCGCCAAGGCTGACCAAATTACTTTTCTCCCCCTAGGTCAGTGCCAAACATTGAATATACAAGCAGCCACATAATTGACGAAATGGTGGCAATCATTGGCCAGATTTTGGATGACCAGCCTGTG